GCCCTGAGTCGTCAACGTGGTGTCGGTGTTCAAGTTATCATCACTCTATACATCTTCACACACCCACACACCCACACCCACACACACAAAACCATTATCGAATTAGAATCCTCCTCCTCCTCCCCCTCCTCCTCCTCCTTATCACCATCACCACCAGAACCACAATATACAACCACCACTACCACCAGCACCACCCGCGCTGCCACCACCACCGCCACCACCACCATCACCATTTCAGCAACAACAGCCACCACACAACTCCACGACCTTGACAACAACGACGACGACAGCGGCGACGACCGCGATGCGGTGAAGCCTAGGACAACTGCCAGCGCAAAGTTTGTTTCAATCAGCCGCCTCCGCGCAAGTATTTCTTTACAGTGCTGTTGACTAAACACGAGCAGAATTTCAATGAGCCCAACTCGTAAGAGATACAACTTGCCACTGCCTCTTCACTGGGGTGAAGAGCCGGAGCTCACAATCCTCGGCAGAAGGAGCCACGGGTTGCTCAAAAAAGTGGATGCCCTTGTACAGGACCCTTGTGTCACCGCCTTTAAAACAGAAACTCATTGTGGCACGGGTCAGAAATTGGGACCCTCCTCGTTGATATGTATATATATATGTGGAACATGTATATATAATTATATAATACAATAGAATACAATATAATACAATACAATCCAATACAATATAATACAATACAACATAATACTATAACAAACAACACATAACAGCACAAATATACATATATATATATATATATATATCTATCTATCTATCTATCTATCTATCTATCTATATCTATCTATATCTATTTATCTATCTATCTATCCATCTATCTATCTATCTATCTATCTATCTATCTATCTATCTATCTATCTATCTATCTATCTATCTATCTATCTATCTATCTAATCTATCTATCTATCTATCTATCTATCTATCTATCTATCTATTAATCTATCTAATCTATCTAATCTATCTAATCTATCTAATCTATCTAATCTATCTAATCTATCTAACCTATCTAACCTATCTAATCTATCTAACATATCTAACCTATCTAACCTATCTAACCTATCTAACCTATGTAACCTATGTAGCCTATCTAATCTATCTAATCTATCTAACCTATCTAATCTATCTAATCTATCTAATCTATCTAATCTATCTAATCTATCTAATCTATCTAATCTATCTAATCTATCTAATCTGTCTAATCTGTCTAATCTATTTATCTATCTATCTATCTATCTATCTATCTATTTATCTATCTATTAATCTATCTTATCTAATCTATCTAATCTATCTAATCTATCTAATCTATCTAATCTGTCTAATCTATCTAATCTATCTAATCTATCTAATCTATCTGATCTATCTGATTTATCCTATCTATCTATCTATCTATCGATCTATCTATTAATCTATCTATCTATCTATCTATCTATCTATCTATCTATCTATCTATGTATCTAATCTATCTAACCTATCTAACCTATCTAACCTATCTAACCTATCTACCTATGTAACCTATCTAATCTATCTATTCTATCTAATCTATCTAATCTATCTAACCTATCTAATCTATCTAATCTATCTAATCTATCTAATCTATCTAATCTATCTAATATATGTAATGTATTTAATCTATCTAATCTATCTAATCTATTTATCTATCTAATCTATCTAATCTATCTAATAAATCTAATCTATCTATCTATTAATCTATCTAATCTATCTAATCTATCTAATCTATCTAATCTATCTAATCTATCTAATCTATCTAATCTATCTAATCTATCTAATCTATCTAATCTATCTAATCTATCTGATCTAATCAATCAATCAATCAATCAATCAATCAATCAATCAATCTATCAATCTATCTATCTATCTATCTATCTATCTATCTATCTATCTATCTATCTATCTATCTATCTATCTATCTATCTATCAAAATAGGCCTCCCCGCTCTGTTTGTGCTTTTGAGGGTCCTTTTAGACCCACCCAAGACAGGGTACCCTCAAGAGCTACCCCTTTGCGCAAGCCATTGGGCTGGTTTCATCTGAGGCAACGTCAAGGTGAAGCTGCGGCACGCCTTGATGCCTACGACGGACCTGGAGCTGAGGCAGGAAACCGGGCGCTCACTGATTGGTTGGTCTTCATGGCGTCAAGATCCCCAAATCCCCCTCCAAACAAAATGGGTGGTGTCCTTTTGGGTTCCCTGAAACAGTTTATCCCCCCTTTCCCCCCAAAGCAAACAACAACGTTGAGAATGTGGGACTCCTCTTTTTGGTCAGCGCAGTCTGCTGGAGAACACTTTTCTGTTTAAGGGAGACCTGTGCAAAGGTCCAAGTGGCTGTATATGTGAAAGGACAACATTACACGGCGTTGTTCAACTCGGGAACCTCATGTCGGTGGTGTTGAATCGAACAAATGAAGCGGTTAGCCTGATGGTGGTGAATAAGGATAGCCCCTGTATTCTATGCCTCCTGTAATATATTTTTTCCAACGGGAAGGTTCTGGAATTATGCAGTTTTCACCGCGGTCCGCGGAAAACCCAAAGTTGAGTTGCACTCCTGGGATAACGAGTTGACTTGCGCACACGTCCCCTTCAGTTGCCGTCATGGTGTCAATGGAACAATCCCCCAGGGGCCCGGCGGGCGACACATAGCAGTGTACCTTCGGGTTGTCCACAGGATTCATGTGTTTTTGTGTTTTTGCTACTGTACCAAAACTGGAAACAGTAAAGGGACGCTTGGGTGGGATGAACATGGTTCCTTGGCAACGCGCTTTCCAAGCGAGCAAGCATCGAGAAACTGGCAGCTAGATTTATTGATGCTAACATGTTCCAAGCAATATATCGATTTTACATGAACATTCTATGTCAGTGTCATAGGGGCTTATGTGCTGACGCTGGATGTTGCTGGGGCCTTGTTTCCTTGAAGGAGCCGGTTCAAGCTGAGTCCTGAACTGGCCGAGCATTCTGTACCAAGCCTGACACTGATGCGCCACAAACCCAGGACCAAAAACCCTCTTTGACATTCTGCAATGAAACGTGTCGACCGCGGAGGTGCCCGCAGGCAAGACATTAAATTGCGAGGCTCCAGCAACAGATCCAGGAGCATTGCACCAAGCGTGAAACATGCCGTGCTATGGAAGGTTGCCAGGGCATAGTTTGGTTTGGACCCTCCCCTCCCACATTTGTTGGGTTGCCTTGCGCGAGAGGTACTATCGCCTGGCCATTCAGGAGCAGATTCGGAGGCTGCCCAGGAACGCCAAGCCGGCGCTGAAGCACGGGCCAGGGCCGTTTCTGACCAGGCGCGGATGGCAGGACGGGGAGTGGGCAAAGATGGCACTGCGGGTGGTGTCAGCTGTCTCAGAGCAGTTCTCAGCCCTTTTGGAATGAAAGAATAGGTTTGGAATTACCTGTGGATTCTTGCTGCACGATCCTGATCTGGAAGATGGGGCCCGTTAAGCCAAGACAGAACATATGCCAAGGAAACATTAGCCAAACTCGGCCACACATGCTTTTGGCTTCGCAAGCTGCCGGTGCTTGAACAGGCGCGAGAGACGCTTCTGGTCCAGGTCTCAGAAGGATTCGCCCAAAAGAGGATGTCAGATTATGTACCCGTATGCCTCCCTTGGTGTCATTGTGTGCTTGATTTCTTTTGCATGTTCATGTTCTTTTTCTCTTCTGTGTGAGCTGGGCCTGTTGCGTTCCGTCAAGGGTTCGCCTCCCAGCTCCAAGCTGCTTGTGGTGGCGGTTCTGGTGGCAGTTTCAGAAGGCGCCAGGCATCTCTTGGAAGGCCACTGCAGAACTTACACTGATCACTTGCGGTTTGTTTCGATAGTTGATTCGTTGTCCCCAAAGAGATTCCAAGCCACCCACTCCAAGCCACCCCGAGCCACACGTTGCCTGCGCGCCGGGCAGTCTGAGGTCCAGGCCAACGTCTCACCTCAGCACCTCCACTAGCAGCTCGGAGGCGGGGACCTTTCGACCAGTGTGAGGGCGAACGCGGGTGTATAGAGATTTTGGAGGACTTAAAGAAAAAGCCAACGAGCCGGACAATTCAGGTACTTTCTTTCCCGGGTCTCTGCCCAAGCAAGCTGCAGGTGTGTTTCATTTCTCCTTTGCGCAACAAAAACACAGAACACCCAACGCATTTCCATGCAGTTCCACTGTAACTATCTTTTTCATGTCACCTCGAAGTACTCGCTTGCGTTAGCGTTTACAATGTGTTTGCGTGAAAATGCTGTGACTTAAAACGCCCTGCTAGGACTGAACGCGATGAGAGCGTTTCCAAGCGACTGCAAGGACTTAACTCGAGATGCAAGGACTCAACCTGACCACTTGTAGGGGGTTCCTTAGAAAACACAACCGGATTGTGGTGCTGAGTTGACTGGAGGACATGAACTAGTCACATTTACCATTGACCCACCATTGCTTGCCCTTCGAGCCAGTAGGTTTCTTCCCCGTTGACTGCCACGGTGAACATTTGGCATCCTCTCCATGGACACGGCGAATGAAATACTGCCTGGTTTTTGGTGAATTCGAGAGAGAGAGAGACCCCCACATCCCCCCCAAATGGACCGTAGACGACCGGGACTCCCGGATTGGCCATGTTCCCCCAAACCTCTGAGCCAGGTCGCCGCTCTCAAGTGCACCACCGAGGACGTGTGATGTGCCACGCGCGGGGAGTGGCTTACCGGCGACAGCGCCAACGCCGGCGAAAGCGCGGCGCAAAGAAAAGTATCGACCGAGCAGCTCTAGTGTGTCTAAGAGGTGGTGCTTTGGCTGATGCTTGCAGAAGTGTTTGTCAGTATTATGAGGCACTCTGCTGCTGTTTCTATTGTGTCAGTCAGCATTGGCCCAGCATTGGCCAGCATTTGTTGAGCACAAACTGCAATGCAGGGTGCCTCCTTAGTGGTGCCATCTCTTGTTGCGGTGCATTGGTTGCAACATACGATGATCTCTCGCACGACGACCTGATCAGGCAAAGCTCGAGGCAATCCGAGCGCGGACTCCAGAGGAGCGCGCAGCTCAGGCAGGAGAGATGGATCTTCACATGAATGCTCTTGCAACACGGACAACCTCCTGTGGAAGAAGTGATTTGGTTCACCCATCTACAGGGTTTCATCCAGCTCAAGTGGTGCAGGATATCGTCCATCCACAGTGTCATATGATCTTTGCGACACATGAGCATGGCTATGTCACAAGCTTGACTGACATGGATGTTTTGTGACTTATCATGCTTCGTGTCAGCAATGGATTGTCGTGCATCAGTTCGATTGTGCTCTGAATGATATACATGTATGTATACACACGACAACTGAACTATTGTCTCAATACATCAACATTGACCAAGCGATACTCGTTTTTGTTTACATTCCACATGTCATTGACTTGCTGGGATTGGGGGATAATTCTCTTTTGGCAAACGCCAACCCCTTTCCTGGCCTTGCGAAGTGTGATTTGAGCAGGCGGCGAAGGAGACCGAGAAATTGCAGAAGAAGGAGGCATATTTGCAAGTGAAGAAGGCGCTCACCTGCTGTGTGTTTGTCAATGCAAGCACCGTGCACAGTACTCTCAAGATCAGTGACACCTACCCTCATCACGAGCATGTGCATCACCTCAGCAGCACCTGGTACTTGTAGCTATCAGGGATTTAGTGAAGGGTGTCTCGATAATTTGAGTTGCCTATGTTTCGGAATCCCACATTATGAGATCAATGAAGCTGGCACATCCGCTGCAGGGCAATGTGGAGGCCCTCAGGGCGGTCCTGGAGGGACTTGACGCTTCCGTTCAGTGGCAGGACAGCAGTGGAGGCATGCGGAAGCATGAGATAGACAGCAGTGGAGGCATGCGGAAGCGTGAGACAGACTATATATGTATATACAGATGCGGACAGCAGGACATACACACACACACACACACACGCCATATGGGTGTGTCATGTGGGTGCGTCTTTTTAGGGGAAAACATCCGTGAGGACTGGCGTGACACTGAGGGCCGGGATTTGTCCGGCGCTCGACTTGTTGGCGGCGCCAGCTTGTGAACCCGCGTGATACGTTGTCACGCTGGACAACTTCCTCCCTTGCAATCTTAGGTTGCGGTATGCCAGAGATGTGAGGGCCAATGACGAGGCCTTGCTGACTCTGTGCCTGCTCTAGAGATGGACCTAGACTCTTCCATCAGGATACAGGCTGACGGCATTCAAGATGCGATGGTCAAAGCATTGATTTACTCGCCTTCTACACAACCGCTTAGCTTGAATCCCATGACCCTTTCCTAAAATAAAGGGAGGGTCATTTTCAAGAAAACGGAAACACATCAAACAGACAAACGACAACACCACATTTCCTTGGCGCAATTTCCAAAACGAGAGTGGCCGGTGGATGTCGAGCGCGTCAGGTGGTGCGGTCCCTCTCTGCCAAGAAGGCGTGTTGCTTCCAAGCCTTTGAGGCGGGGATCTCGGGATAGAACGGCCACGCGGAAAGAGACCAGGTATTGTTTGCATTGTCGGATTGTTGCAAATGTTCCCCTCGCACCTCCAATGCCTCCAAGAAGAATGTGTATCATCTCTCTCTCTATATATATATATATATATACAGCCATGTAGTGGTTGGACTAATTTTCGTCTTAGAGGGGGTATGGGTTCCGAAAACCCCTGCAAGGCCATTCGCCATGATAGAGGCCCAACTTTCTGGGGCAGTTGTTTGTGTTTCAAGAACCCAAGCTGACCAGCAAAATCAGAAAGATTGGGGGAGCCCTTGAAGTAGTTGGTCTCATGTTGGTTTCCTTTGTGCACGAGCCCCAAGAGGACCGCTGGTTTTGACCCTTGTTCATATTGCGAGGTTGCGTTCTCAGGGCAAAGGGTTCACCGTGGCATAGTGTTCCTTTTCGGTTGTTAACTCTGCAGCAAAGACTCTTTGAAGCTGGTGACCAGTTGCGTTGTTGATTTTAGGAAGACATCAGTAGGACGTTGGTTACTTTGCACGCTAGCTGACCCAAGAACACGCCCAGGAGCAAGCCCAGGAGCAGCCCATTCTGGATCCGGAGCAGGACGGGCAATGATTTGTTTGTTTGCTTTGGATGCCAGTAAGTGTGGTTACTAAACTGTAAGCAGCGACAGAGTCCTATAGCAATGATGTACACAGCGATGGATCCTTGTTTCCCGAAAGCATGGCGAGGGGAGATCTTAGCTTGCGTATGAAGATATCCGGCCTTGTACATTACAAAAGAGGGATATCGAATGAAGCATCTTGGTGCTTGCGCGCTTTTTTGGCGCAGCGAATTCGTGACTCTCCGGCCTCGTCGAAACTCGAGTGTCTTGCAACCTTTTGCAGCTGCGTGACCCTCGGCGTCGGCGTGGTCGACGCGCAAAGCCCTCGGTATTTTGCAGCTGTTCAACATCGCCTCGCGACCCCCTCTGCGGGTATCGGCGTGGTGGGCGTGCAAAAGCCCAGGCGGTTTTGCTAGATAGCGGGCTCATGGATGAGTCTTCGGAAGTTGTTTTTGAGAAACTCGCACAGAGAACTTGCGCAGAGAAACTTTGGAACCTGCGCAGACAAATTTGCATGGAGAACTTGCACAGGCAAGCTTGCATATATAATTTTGCTCAAGCAACTTGCACTTGCATAAAGAACTTGGGCAGAGAAAAATGCGAAAATAAATCTGCGCAGAGAAACTTGCGCGGGGAACCTGCTCGCAGCAACTTGCTTGCAGATCTTGAGGAGAAAACTCACGCAGATAAACTGCTCAGAGCACTTGCTCAGAGAAACCAGGTGCAGAGAAACTTGCGCAGAGAAAGCTTGCGCAAAGAGCTTGCGCACAGAGAACTTGCTTGCGCAGAGAAATCTTGCGCAGAGAGAAGAGTAGAAACTTGGGAATCTGCTTACAGAAGCTTGCATGCAGGTCTTGGCGGAGAAAGCTTGCGCAGATAAACTGCGCGGAACACTTGTTCAGAGAGCCCCCGCAGAGAATTTGCGAAGAGACACAGAAGTTTCCGAGGAATTTGCGCAGCGAATCTTGCACATGGAGCTTGCGAAGAGAAAACTTGCTTGCGCAGAGAAAGCTTGCGCAGAGAACGTTGCGCAGAGAGTCTGGCACAAAGAAAACCTCATCACGATCGTGCTATGTCATGTCCCATACTCTTGCAGTAAGCTCGGTGGGCTTACTTATGTTTCAGATTAAAAAGACACTCGCGGCTACACACTTCTGAGCCACCTGGTTTGTGAGACAGTGGCCTTGATAGTTTTGTCGATTTGATTGCTGGCCTTGTTGCGTGATAGCTGTTATCAGCTGACAACCTTGACTTGTTTGGAACATGTTGTCGGAGATGCCCGGAGCTTGTTCTCCGCGCTGTGCTAGTGTCGCGGGAACCTCTGCGCTGGAGATGGGCTCTCGTATTGGTTGATCCGTGAATGTTCATCTACTGTGGTCAAGCCGGCGTTGTCGCTTTTTTAAGAAGAAATCGGGTACTTTGCAACGCCAGCTGATCCAAGAACACAGGAGCAAGCAGAGGAGCAGTTGCAGCAAGCCCAGGAGCAGCCCATTCTGGATTCGGAGCAGGACGGGCAATGAATTGTTTGTTTGGTTTGGATGCCAGTAGGTGTGGTTACTCAGGCAACATGCAGAGTTGCACCGCAGCAATGTATATATCGCTAGAGCCTTTTTTTGTGAGAGGGTGGCGTTGATAGGTTTGTTGCATCCACGTCAGCGGGGAGGGACTATGTTGCAAAGCACAAGTCACGCCGGCTCTCATAGCCTCGAAGCATTCTTGCAGAAAGCCTGCTTTCCTCGCTTGTGGACGGAGGTGAATTGACGTTTGGGCTTCAACAAGCGATGCTTGTCATACGGATTGTGCGTAGGCTTCTGTGCTAGGTGATATTTTGGGGGTGGGCCGGCCTGTTCATCACAATGAGTCATGTATTGCCCGTGGGGAGGGGGCTAGGATAGTGCTGGGTTGGTGCTAGCATTTTGATAGAGCCTGGTCGGAAGCAGGATTCAGAGGGCACTGTTTCTGCAGTGGATGCCGAAGCAGCGTCAGAGAGCGACAGTCATAGCGGTAGCCGTCTGGCTTGCCAGGCCTTGAGCACAGCCCAGCAGAGGGTGGATGAGAGTGAGATGGCAAAAGCAGAGGTGGAGTTGCAGGCAGCGGGCGCAAATGTCACGGCAAGTGTTTATGTGTGTGTGTGTGTGTCGATGTTGGGATCATCGAGACGGTTTTTTGAGGGTTCCTTAGCAAGTGAAATGCAAATGGTAGCTGATGCCGATTTACACTCAGAGCTGCACCGCAACATCTTTGTCCCAAGCCAAACGTGCCCACCTGATCGGACAAATACGCACCTCCTTCAAATGCGAGCTTCCTGCAGCTTGCTGTGTTTCAAAAGCATTGAAACAGCATGATCTACAGGTCTTCACATTGCGTAGTTATCAGGGGAGATGTTCTTAGGACTTGTTCAGAGCTCACAGGCTCTAGCTTGTTGGTTTGGATTGGTGAGAAGGGGTCGCTTGTTCCCTATGCCTGTCCTAACTACGATATCGGCATGTCTTTGACGACAGGGCATCACTATGTCATCCTCTAGCCAATTCACCTAAATACAGTGATCCGCCGACTGAGCCTAAAGCTGCGCTACCCAAGAAGTCTCAAGCTACACCAAGGGAGCAGCTTCAACACATTTGGGGTTCATGTGTGCGATTTGTGTCCATCAACCCTTTTGGGAGGGTGTTCATAGCCATTTCCCTGAAACGGTTGGCACAACCTGACAGGAGAAAGCCGAAGAGCCATCCGTGGAGCAAGCCTCTGAGCTGCCAGATCCAGATCCGCAGCAGGCGATGTCGTTCTCTGTGAGTGAACGCGATGGCGATTGCGTTGCCAGGCGGAGGCACTGAGACTAAAGGCGGGATGAGTTTCTGGCTGCGCAGAACCTTGGATGCTTTTGGATATCGTTTGCTCTTGCGTTTGGCATCGTGCCAGAGGCAGCGACACATGCATGCACACAAGAATGCCGCCATGAGCATGCTCGTTGCGCTAGGCGTTCCGCATGGTGGCCGTGCGCTGAGGTCTCACGTGCAAACATAGTGCTTTCCAGACGCGCAGGGAGTTGCAGCAGCTTGCCAATCTTGACATCTGGCCTATTCAAGTGGGGTGGAGTCCACCAGGGAGTTTTGTCCCGGAGACCGACCGAGTAAAGGTCAAGGACTGCGTGGAAGAGCTCACTGAAGTCCTGGACGCGGTGCCGGAGAGGATGTGGACCAAGTGGCAGAACAAGGCCAACAAGGACCGAGGCGGAATGCGAAAGGCGAGGAACTTGTGACCAGGATCTGGGCAAAACATGTGAGAGCTTGAGGTGAAAAGCACTTGCTAGGAAAAGCCTGGGAGCGGGGGATTTTGGTGGAATTGAGAACGCCCATGTTGTTGCCCTGCCAGGATTTGCTCACCCTGGCGGAGGAGCGAGGGCCTGGGGCCTAGCAAGTTGATCACACAGGAGGAAGTTGGCAGGTTGACCCTGTCTGTTGCAGGGCATAGCGTTTGATTGCGCCTTCAGTGGATGCTGAATTTCAGCACGCTGGTGGCTTTGCCTGGCTCGACACGGAAAAGGGACAGTGGAGCTAGTTGCTTGTTGCATGACGGAAGTTTGGCCTTTGCAGGGCTGCATTTGATGGGAATCCAGCAGGTCGTTGTGAAATCAGCAGGTCCAGCTCGACCTACGCGTTCTTGTCCAAGCGCTTGGGCATCGCCAAGGACTTTTGTAGGGATGGATGGTGTGTACAATTGGGACAAGCTCGCAGGTACTACCCGACATGATCCTCTATTTCAGGTGGAAGCTTACCTGAAAACTCTCAAGCAAGTTGAGAATTTGTATTAGGAACCCTGTAGTAGGAGAGCTTCCCTGGCAATAAATCGAGGAGATCCGCGTGTCGGCGGTAAACCCTTCTTTGTGTTTAGCATCCTGCTGAAGGTCTCTTTCGAGTCTTCACCCGGGAGGATTGCCTTTGCATGTGAGATCAGAGGCAAAGATTGCCAACTCTCCAAAACATGAATCCCGAGACTGCCAGAGGCCCCAAAGCTACTGCGACCACCCTGCGAACCCTGAAACACCTCCGTGCCAATTCCCAGCAAACCTGCACGGCACCTCCTTGTGCAATGAATGCTATTTGCTCATTTTCAACAGGCATTGGGTTCCGGGAAGCCACACTGCCTGGAGAGGCGTTGTCTCCCGACAGGAGAGGGAAAACCACGCATTCATGGTCAGCCAGGCAAGGTGTGAGTGAGCGCACTATGCCATCTGTAGATGTTTGCGTGGGGGTGCGTGGCATCTTCAAGGCATTCTTGCTTTAGGCCACTGTAGGGCATGAAACTGGCAGACCCTAAGTCGATATAAGTCGACAAAACGGAGTCAGACGAATTGAAGGTGCACTTCGGGACATGTGACGATGAGCCACTATCAATGAATCTTCAAGATGGATGGGGTCATGCTGGTCCTCACAGCATCAAGGTTTTCGCGCATTGAAGGAATGACATGCGTGATTTCACATGTCGTGGAGCTCGCAAGAAAACGCTTTGCTGCTGTTTCTGGACGCTCGCACGGGAAGCGTCTGCTTCGTTTGAAGTAGACATCTTGAATCTGGTTTCAGTTAGTGGTTACCCTTTGAAGCAAAGACTGGCGCAGCCACCACCATGATTTGGATCATGCCCCAAACCGGTGGAAGTTTCATGGGAAGCTGCAGTCATGGCTTATGCAACCCCCATGCAGGCGGTGTGGGTCTTCTTGCCTGGAGAGGCGGGCTCTCCTTTGTTCGGCTGGATTGCAGATGCAGCAAGTTGAACTTGTGGCCAGATGAATGGTGCAATCTGCTGTAATTCTGATGTCTGAAGTGAGGGAACGTTTCACCGCTTCCCGTCCGCCGTTCCTTGCATTTTTGGGAGCCAACCCCCAGCCCTTGTATCTAAAACGGGCACCAACATGTACCGTGCGAGGAGATCCTACAGAGATTCAACACAGGATCGAGTCACACGAATGGGCCGTTAATAGCTTAGAACTAGGATGACCCTCTTAAAGCGCAAAAGCTGAATGTTCCTTTGTTTTATCCATGGACATCTCGAAGCAAGAGTAGGAGGTCTGGTAGGAGGCCCTTGATATTGAACATAGGTACTACCTTGCAAATGAATCCTCGGACTTGCGGCTGGCCTTGCAAGGATCCAGAGGAATGCTCCTAGAGGGGTTCACTGCTCAGGTGGTTCCCAACCAAGCCACAGTCTGGGAGGCGGGGAGGCCCACAGCTAGGAGTGCAGAATTCCTGGCGGCAATTTCTCCGAGTGCCCTGCCTGTTCTGTTAGTTGGGTGTGCGAGCTTGAGCTTGATTTCAAGACACTCCGGAGCGCCGAGGCTTGTATCAGATCCTGGTTGCTTCCTCCCGTGCAGGACAGCCCGGCGGAGCAAAGCACTGTCAAAGTGCAGATGTGGGATGACGACTCGGAGACGTTCCGCGAATTTGACAAGTGCATGGTGCACCGCATGAACGACTCCTAATCCCAAGGCCATGTTTACGGCTAGATCCTGAGAAGGCCGTTTGCACTCAGGACCTGTGCAGGATTACTGGGTGGGGAGGAAGACAGATGCTCGGGTGTGGCGTAGACAACTGGTACGGATCCGTGCAACTGCCTGAAACCTTGTGCGTCAAGCTTACAGGCATTGTATGTTCTTCCTTTGATGCCTTCTGACAATCAACACACATCTCTCCAAAGCATCTACATGATACAATGAAACCGGTGAAAATCAGGCGTCACACCAGCGACCAGTGTTGGATTGTCCCTTTGTCGACCATGTGTGGACAATATCCAGAGCTCCCGTCCCCGCCCTACAATACCATAGTCCTGCTTAGAGTGGTGGGGACCTTGTCCCCATGGACACTCACTGCACCCCGGCCAATGCTTGCCAGGGGGTAGCGAAATGCTTGAGCTCAAGGCTTGATCCAGAGAGATTTCCAGCTTAGACCAGTTGGTTGAGCTGGATGGGACAGAGAGGGCCTGGCCAATGTTTGCCAGGGCTCAGCGAAGCCTCGCGAAATGCATCCATGGCGCCGAGCCAAAATATGACTCGCAAGTGGCAGGTGGCATCCTTGGGATTGTCAGATGAGTTGGCCCCATGGTTTGATTGACATAGTGCCGGCCAGACTGCCAATCCTTTGGTGGTCTCTAACCTCAGGCTGCCATGCCGTTTGAAGGGCGCGTTCTATTTTGATCCCTGGCTGTGTCAAACCTAGGATCGGGCCGGGCCATTCGGAGGGGTCCAACTTTCCACGCACCCAGCCTTAGTAGGGATGGTCACCCTCTAAATCACGGGAGTTCAGACCATGATGAGCAACCAAAGACGAGTCATCCTTTTGCTTTGAGATTTCACGGGGGTCATCAACCTCTAGTACCCTGCCAGAACTTGCAGACGACCGCAGGTATGGCCCGCCAAAGCACTGGCTCTGCTCCGCGCTGGTGCCATCTTCCGCGCACTTGGCCTGGTTGTGCCTCATCGACTTTCAGGAGAAGCCCTGAAACAAGATGGGTAGCTTAACCAACCTTTTTTTAGAATAGATTCGTTCAACTGGTTTCAGTTTGGTTCCAATCATGAGCCACCCATTTGTCCAAAAGGACGCTTACTGTATACATTGTCCCACAAAAGACCACGGGGACAAGCCAAAATACCCGAATTTGCCAGAAACCATGCGGCAGCCAATTCCCACGCCCTCTTGAACAGAGAATAGTCCGCTCTTGTCGGGCTCATGCAACACCTCGTGTGATGCGATGGCATTGATCCCGCGAGGACTTGGTGAAAGTCCACCTCAATCAGACAGCTCGGCTTCCGCCCTGGGTGGCCCTGGTCCTCAGGGCTTTGCGTCTAGCTGAGGATTTCGGGCTGTTTGAGCTCTGTCTAGTTTTCTACCCATGTCAGCACGGTATATGCTTGATGTTGGAGCCTTTTGATGTACCTGACATGTCGGCAAGGAAGGGAGGATGCTCACGCAAGGTGGCGAGTTATGAGTCCAAAGCAAACGGCAGTGGGTCGAAACTGGTCCTTTTTGTTATTCCATGATGCAAATGTTCACTCAGACCAATATGGCGCGTTTAGAACGGCCGTCTATTCTGTGCAGTTGGGCGAAGCACTTGAGGGCAACAGCCACATCAGCAACAAACAGTGGCACCGACTTGAGACCTGCAGCTTGATTGAACGGCAAGTAGTTGCCCCCCCTTTGTTTCATTGGCAGCAAAGCATCCAAGGGAGCTGAGCCAAACCCATCTGGTCGTCGCAAGTCGGCGTTGCAGCTGGATGTGCTGAGCTGAAGCACCTGGAGTTTGACGTGCTGGTGGCCCAAGCCCTGCTGGACGGCGCGGCCATCTATTCGCAGGTGCGGCGAGAGAGAGCTCAAGCGGAGAGGCGGAGAGGGACGAGAGGCGTCGAAATGGCGACAATCGTAGGGGGACAGTCCGACAGGACCAATTTTCAGTTGATGGCACCTTTTGATTTGATTCTTTGCCATGGTGTTTGGCTTTTCACTTTGACTCAGGACTCATGTCTGCTGTCAGCATCAGCATGATTGTCAGAGTAGCGCTTCCAAGGTGCAGCGGCATATATTTTGAGCGAGCCGTGCGGGGTGCAGATGATTGCCACAAGCACTGATACATATTGATATGGTTTCGAGACTGGAGATGCAGAGAGAGAGAGAGAGAGAGACAGAGAGAGAGAGACTTGTGCTTTCTTTCCTATTTTTTTAAAAAGAGATTGGCGGCATCAGAACAGAGCCGCGGGCTTGAGGTCATGTTTTTGCTGCCCGATGTTGCAGTAGACACCGGCACCAGCAGCAGCAGCAGCAGCAGCAGCAGCAGCAGCAGCAGCAGCAGCAGCAGCAAAAGCAAAAGCAAAAGCAAAAGCAACACCGAGTAGCAAGAGCAGCAGCGAGAGCAGCAGCAAGAGCAAGAGCAAGAGCAACAGCAAGACCAAAGGCAAGAATAACAGCAAGAGCAAGAGCAAGAGCAAGAGCAGCAGCAAGAGCAACACAAGAGCAACAGCAAGAGCAAGAGAAACAACAGCAGCCAGAGCAGCTACAGCAGCGACAGCCACAGCAGCAGCCGCAGCATTTGCAGCAGGAGCAACAACAGCAACAACCACAACGAGCAGTGGGATTAAGTAGGAGTCCATGGCCTTGGTTCCGTATTGATTGGCGTGGGTGCCATCACTCAGTGCGGATTGCGAGTCTGGACTGTCTCTGCTTGTGTGTTGACTTTGGCTCCTTCCTACTGATCGTGTTCTGGCATTTTGTTGATCCGACCTCGTAGGGATCCTGGGAAACTATACCAGGTCCTCGAGACCGGCCTCCAAATGCAATACTTTGTCATATCAACCAGGAACCTCATCAGTTCACAACCTGAGAACTTTCCGGGTCAGGTGTTCCCATGCACCTTCTGGCTTCAGCACGCAGCAACGTGCTTCTTTCACAGAACGTCAGGTTCTGACTGCAGAAGTCGCCAGCGAGCTTCGTGAGTTTGTACCTCAGGCCTAGGGAGTCAAAGGTCTTCGGTGTGTAAGCTCTTTTACATTCATTGTCACAGTCGTGTCTTTTGGGCCCCTGTCATTACAGAATGCTGCCTTTAGATTTTATTCTCTCTCTCTCTCTGTCTCTGTCTCTGTCTCTTTGGCTGGCTTCCTGGCTGTCCCTCCCTCCCTCCCTCCCCTCCCCTCCCCTCCCTCCCCTCCCTCCCCTCCCCTCCCCTCCCTCCCCTCCCTCCCTCCCTCCCTCCCCTCCCCTCCCCTCCCCTCCCCCCCTCCCCTCCCCTCCCCTCCCCTCCCTCCCTCCCTCCCTCCCTCTCTCCCTGCTTGGGCAATGTGTTTGTGGGTCATCATTGCTTTTGCTTGGCTTTTGTCCAAAGTATTGCCTTGAGCCAACGGTCCACAAGGAGAGCACGACTCTGTCGGTGGTTTACGCCCAAGCTGCCATGAGCCTCAGATTTGCAGTCTGAGGTATCATGCTGGCTTGATGTGTGCAACCAACCTGGACGAGGCCCGTTTGTTCGTGGTTGACTTGCCGCCTGCCTTGAAGGGTCCATTCCCAGACAACCGCTCTGTGACAGAGCCGGTTCCAAGCGCCTTTCCACATTTGACTTGAATGTGAGGGGCAAGTCGCAGTTGATTTGCACATGTGGGGACTGGGCCGCGTTTGCGAAACGGCAAGGCCGTCCCAATGACTAATTCACTTCAGGGGACGGTTCCTTCAGACGTGGGAACCATCCGCCTCGTTCGCCCGCAAGACCTGCGCCAGGTAGACCTCCCAGCAGAATTGCAAGTGCCGGCATCCTTCAAGCCGCTTGCCCGCAACAGCCTTCGCCTTTCATCATATCCCATGGCTATGAACTGAGGCTGCCAGCGCTGTCGCTCTTGCAAGTGACAAATCAGGCCAGGAGTCTGACCCGGGCCATGGTCAAACATGCGACTCGGGCTTGATGGGCAAGGGTTTTGAAGGACCTGCACTGCGACTGTGGGGCGTGCCACACCTTGCACAAGCATCCCTACCCTATCGCGGGAATCATGACCGTTCCACACACATCACGACCATAAATGATTGATCAGAGGAGTTTGCGGAGTTTGATCAGGACCTAAATGACTGAATTTGTCGGCTCCATACATGCATCAACAAACACGACGGCGCGCCACAAGCCGGCTTTGATGCGCATGGAATACAGTTGCAAGACCGGCAGAACTGCGAAGCGTCAATGCATCTAACCAGAAGGATACCCACAAGCAGCGTTCAAAACCCCCCATGAAAGAAAGTAGTAAAGGTTTTGCGAAAGGAAAACACAGGGCAGCACAGGGCCGCGAAAGCTTCGCGAAAGGGTTTCTTGTCCCGACGTGCTCCGTTGGCGAAGGCAGACATGGAATACAACACCGTGGAACCTAGGTTTATACCACCGCATCGTTTGTCGACCGTGTGGACCAGGCGTAAACAACATGAAATACCACACCCGGGCTTGCAATGCTGCCAGCTGTCTGCAGGTGTCTCCTTTCGTGAATTTCCTGCCAGGACCCGCGAGAGAGAGGGAGAGAGATATAGAGAGACAGAGCGAGGAAAATAGTCCCATCTTTGGTTTCAAGACCAGAGGAGATCGTTGTGGAAAGGACACAGGGCCGTGCTTGACGGATCTGTCTCCTGTTGGTTGGCAAGTACCAGTTTGTCAGAAACACGACCGCGCTTTCGGTTCACGCGCCTTATGCTCAGACAGTGGCAGACTCCGTGGCGGGTCACGCGTCAGGACACTCCATCCAACGGCAAGAGCAGATTGATCACTTCAGCAGCTCCAAAAGTCTGACGAAGGCCATGGACCAAGTTGCTGTGGCAGACCTGCGAGACTCGCAGCACAGTCAAGTGTCATGGCGAGTTATGGCTGGACTTGTGAACCATGTGTGTGAAACATGATATTAATATGCAGGTCAAGAGGATGGCTGCTTTAAGTGTGGCTTCTTCGTGCCTCAAAACCAAGAAGCCCCAAAGGATCCACAGGAAACCCAAAGGAAGCGCCGAACGAAAGCCAAAGGAACCGCACCAGAAACTCCAACCCCAGGCACCCCAAGAAACCCCAAACCGCAGGAACGCCAAAAGCACCGGCCAAAAATCGAGGCCGCCGTGCAGCAGCTCTACGACCTCTGCCGCAGCCAGCCGCAGCTGGGGCGCTGCATCTGCCTCTCCCTGGCGCCCCCGGTGCGGGGTGGGGGGGGGCCGGAGAGCCGGGCGTGTTGCTGGCTGTAGCTTCGAGGTTTTACAAAGGGGAGTTTGTTGAGTTTGTTGCTTGCTGTACCAGAAGAGAAGGTTTTGCAAAGGGGAGTTCAGATCCAGACCCATTTTGATGGTTTCCGCTTGAGACAAAGGCCCCCAGAGATGGCGGATGCAAGGCTGGGATTGGTGAATTTTCGAGAAAGTACAGCAGTTTGTCCGTATTTCATATCAGCATGGTCCTGTCGAGGGCTGCGCCGCAGCTTTGCCGACAGCGCGGCGCATTCAGCAGATGCTCCTGGGCTGGAATAGTTGTATTGGGCTCAATATTCATTGTGGCGGGCTGAGAAGCATATGGAAGCATCTGTTTTCACCTGCATTGAGACAAGCTTTTGTGAGTTCCAATGAAGATGACAATGTCCGTTTTAACTATTGCCATCCCGTTGACCATAGCTCATGCGATTGATGCAGCAGTTGTTGCAAGATTGACAAGTGTTAAATTGCATCCAACAACCCAGTGGAATCGTCAAACCTGTTGGCCAGAGGGATCACGTGTTGCTTGTGGTTGGCTAGTGCCGCTGTATTGCTTGCCCAACAATTGGCAGGGCATCTGGCTTGCGCTGAATATATCACATAGCAAAGAGCAGCAAGGCCATATATATATATATATATTTTAGTGCCTCCGGCTCAGGCCGCCGACATTACAGGCCTGCTTTCTTATTTGCGTCCGTTTGGAATTGTCCCCTTGCCCCCTTCCCCTCTGAGATCTTTGCCCCCCTTTCTTTGTTGAGATCCATTCCCCCTTTCCGCCCGAAGGCCTTTTCTCCCTCTGTTTTTTTCCCTTTTCCTCCCTAAGATGTTTTCACCCCTCTCCCTGTTGAGATCCTTTCCCCCCTTTCCCCCCTAAGGCCTTTTCCCCCCTGAGATCTTCTCCCTTTGCCTCCCTAAGATCTCCCAGATCGTCTCCCTTTCAGGGAGAAGATCTGGGAGAAAAGGACTTAGGGGGGAAAGCCCAACAGGGAAAGGGGGGAAAAGATTTAGGAAGGAAAAGGGAGAAGCTCTCAGGGGGGGGAAAGGCCTTAGGGGGGAAAGGGGGAAAAGGATCTCAGCGGGGGGGGGGGGGAAGATCTTAGGGAGGAAAGGGAGAAGATCTGGGGACAAAGGCCTTAGGGGGGAAAGGGGAGAAATGATCTCAACAGGGAAAGGGGTGGAAAAGATCTTAGGGCGGAAAGGGAGAAGATCTGGGAGAAAAAAGGCCAACAGGGAAAGGGGGGAAAGACCTAAGGAAGGAAAAGGGAGAAGCTCTAGGCCTGGGGAAAGGGTGGGAAGGATCTCAACAGGGAAAGGGGGGAAACAATCTTAGGAAGGAAAGGGAGAAGATCTGGAAAGGCCTTGAAGGGAAGGGGGGAAAGGATCTCAACAGGGAAAGGGGGCAAAGGATCTTAAGGAGGAATAGGAAGAAGATCTCAGCGGGGGGAAAGGCCGTAGGGGGGAAAGAGGGGAAAGGATCTCAACAGGGAAAGGGGGGGAAAGATCTCAGTGAAAAAGGGAGAAGGTCCCACGCAGGGAAAAGGCCTTAGGGGGGAAAGGGGGAAAGGATCTCAACAGAAACAGGGGGCAAAGGATCTTAGGGAGGAAAAGGGAGAAGATCTGAAAAGGCCTTAGGGGGAAAAGGGGGAAAGGAGCTCAACAGGGAAAGGTGGGAGAAGATCCTAGGGAGGAAAAGGGAGAAGATCTCGGGGGAAAAGATCTTGGGGAGGACAAGGGAGAAGATCTCAGGGGGGGGAAGGCCTTAGGGGGGAAAGGGGGGAAAGGATCTCAACAGGGAAAGGGGGCAAAGGATCTTAGGGAGGAAAAGGGAGAAGATCTTGGGGGGGAAAACGCCTTAGGGGGGAAAGGGCGGGAAAGGATCTCAACAAGGAAAGGGGGGAAAAGATCTTAGGAAGGAAAAGGGGGAAGATCGCAGGGGGAAAAAAGGCCTTAGGGGGGAAAGGAGGGAAAGGATCTCAACAGGGAGAGGGGGGAAAACATCGTGGGGAGGAAAAGGGAAAAACTCAGAGGGAGAAAGGGCCTTAGGGGGGAAAGGGGGGATGGATCTCAACAGGGAAAAATGGCAAAAGATCTTAGGGAGGAAAAGGGAGAAGATCTCAGGGGGGGAAAGGCCTTAGGGGGGAAAGGGGGGAAAGGATCTGAGCAGGGAAAGGGGGGGAAAGATCTTAGGGAGGAAAGGGAGAAGATCTGGGGGCAAAGGCCTTAGGGGGGAAAGGGGAGAAATGATCTCAACAGGGAAAGGGGTGGAAAAGATCTTAGGGAGGAAAGGGAGAAGATCTGGGGGAAAAAAGGCCAACAGGGACAGGGGGGAAAGATCTAAGGAAGGAGAAGCTCTCAGGGGGGGAAAGGCCTCAGGGGGAAAGGGTGGGAAGGATCTCAACAGGGAAAGGGGGGAAACAATCTTAGGAAGGAAAGGGGGGGGAAGATCTTAGGGAGGAAAGGGAGAAGATCTGGGAGAAAAGGACTTAGGGGGGAAAGCCCAACAGGGAAAGGGGGGAAAAGATCTTAGGAAGGAAAAGGGAGAAGCTCTCAGGGGGGGAAAGGCCTTGGGAGGGAAAGGGGGGAAAGGATCTCAACAGGGAAAGGGTGGGAAAGATCTTAGGAGGAAAGGGGGGGGAAGATCTTAGGGAGGAACTCCCTAAGATCTTCCCCCCCCCCTTTCCTCCCTAAGATCTTTCCCACCCTTTCCCTGTTGAGATCCTTTCCCCCCTTTCCCTCCCAAGGCCTTTCCCCCCCTGAGAGCTTCTCGCTTTTCCTTCCTAAGATCTTTTCCCCCCTTTCCCTGTTGGCCTTTTTTCCCCAGATCTTCTCCCTTTCCTCCCGAAGATCTTTTCCACCCCTTGCCCTGTTGAGATCATTTCTCCCCTTTCCCCCCTAAGGCCTTTTTGCCCCAGATCTTCTGCCTTTCCTCCCTAAGATCTGGAAATGAAGGGGGGAAAGGGGGAAAGGATCTCAACAGCGAAAGGGGGGGAAAGATCTCAGGGAGGAAAGGGAGAAGATCTGGGGAAAAAATGCCTTAAGGGGGAAAGGGGGGAAAAGATCTTTGGGAGGAAAAGGGAAATCTTTCTCGGGGGGAACAGGCCCTAAGGGGCAATCGGGGGACAGGATCTCAATCGGGAAAGAGAGAAAAAAACTTTGGGAAGAGAAGGGTGGAGATCTTGGGGGGAAAAGGCCTTAGGGGGGAAACGGGGGCAAGGATCTTAAGCGGGAAAGGGGGGAAGAGATCTTAGGGAGGCAAAGGGAGACGAACTCAGGGAAAAGGACTTAGGGAGGAAAGGGGGGGAAAGATCTTTGGGAGGAAAAGGGAGAAGAACTGAGGGTGAAAAGGTCTTAGAAGGAAAAGGGGGGAAATAAATGATCTCAACAAGGAACTGGGGGGGGGGGTCACCAGCATAGGCAACATCCCCAGCATCACTTGCATCATCCGCATCCTTGGCAGGCGCTGATGCGGATGATGCAGGTGATGCTGGCGATGTGCCGCTGGAGCTGCTAAGGATGCGAAAGCGCACCCGGGGGGAATCGAACACCCCAATGTTTTTGACAAACTGAGTTGCGCAAGCCCGCACAATGAACAGATTTAGTGAAGCGTCTTCGAATCACCGCGTGGTACGTGGACCCCCCCCCCCCCGCAATAGTCCCTGGGGGTTAGGGGAGGGGTAACAGGTAAAGAGGTAAGGAGCATTTCTTATGTCCAACACGCCGCCTGTTGTCGGCGGATATATACACATACATATCATACACATGTGTTTGGTATTGTTTGGTATGATACTTGTTTGAGAACCGGCCTGTCAAGCGAAGCACGTCGATGGTTGTGAGAGGGTGAGTGAAAGGTATTTGGGTCTTACTGCGGACGCGCCGTCGCCTCAGCTTCATTTTCAAGAGCAGCATTTGCCGATGCAGGGTGCTGCTGATGTGGCTGTGATAGATTTTGAGCACCAACAGCAAGCAGCTGAGGCTCCTGCAGTCGCTGAAGTCGGATGCCTGGCGGTACCTCAAATTCTTGGAGGCCTCTTGCAGTGCTTGAGTGCAAGAAATGCTTGCACTGCAGCTCGTTTGGCTTGGCCAGGTGAATGATGCCGTTGGTTGCCCACAATCTTTGCACTCACCTCAGAGCCTTGCTAACTGCTTCCGAGTAATCCATCGAAAGAAATCCAAAATGTCAGTTGGGAACAGAGTGGAGTCAATCGTAGGAAATCCAACCAACTGCCACACATCTCGTAGATCAGGCAGATGGGACGTAACAGAGCAAGCCCATGGTTGGAATGCTTCGCCGAGGTTGGAGCTGCTGAGCGTTTTATTGGCACCACTCTCGGAGCAAGTGTTTGTCAAGGTGGTGAAGCTTGCCTCCACTTTGGCCATTGAGGTGGTGGTGGTTTCCGATGTCCGCCCTACTCCTGCCTTGCATGGGCGCTTGCAGGCCGAATCGATGCGATATCCAAGGTCAAGTCGATGCGACCGGTATGCCTTTCTTTGTGTTATTTGTGGGGTAGGTATGGCCACTGTGAGGGGTGCAAGCGGGAGACATCCCAAGTACCCTCGACGGTTCTATGCTGCTTTTCGCATATCCAAAAGGGCAAAGCTGTTTGGGGTAGAGGACTCAACATGGCTGCCTGTCACAATCAGAAATGCCCCCCTTTGGTGGGAATCAGCGGGATGCACAAACGCTGCCCAAAGGAAGAAGCACATCCTCTGGAGTGAAATACCCAGAAAGTTTCGGCTGCACCCTTTTGGGTTTGTCTTTTACAGGGAAACGCAAAGGACACCTACCCTTTTGCGGGTACCCTGTTTAAATTGACACACACACACACACAGGCAGTTTTGTGTGAGGCGCTAGTCTCAATGGCGACCTCCACTGCGAACTTATCCGGAGAGGACCGTTGCCGACAGTTTAGTTTTTAGGGTTTAAAGGCGGGGTCTTGGTGTCAAAATGAAAAACCCCTCCGAAAAGGTCGGCTTCTTTCAAAGTCACTTTGATGTATCATCGT